CCTTGTAAAGACTGTGTTACTGATTAGATACGGTGAGGTCAACATGTGTATCTATGTGATATCAAGACTATTGGAGCCAAGTCAGGATTGCTTTATACATAGTCACACCAAAACAGCTGTGCTGTAAACACACATTGTACAGAGCCAGAGACATAAAAACAAACTAAATTCTCTGTTAAATACACTGTATTTGATGGCTACCTTGCTAGGAACAGTAATCTCTAGTTTAAGTTGTGTTTATATTTTAGTAAATCAGCGGCAAATCCTTCAGGCACATGGTGATTAATGGCAATTTTAGCTCTTTCCTGACTTTCCTAAAGAGAGAAACCAAATAAACTGCCTCTCTTGCTACTACTCTCTTGCTGGTCTGTCACCATCAGCCACTTTTGTGGATACCTGGAAGGGGGGATATTTTCAGATGTTTTTGCGTGAGGCCACCCGGAGAGTCTGATATGATTTTAAATACAACCACTTGTTTTTTCAGTTCAACCCGGTGGGAGCACTGTGGAGCAGGCGCAGCTCCATCCTAGACAGGAAGTCAAGTCTGCTGCACATGAAGGCACCTTATTGCATTATAATACTCAGTCTTTGGGTATCCTCCAAATACTCTTTATTTTGTTTTAGTCTCTTCTCCTCTGACATCCTGAGAGCCCGGCCAAAGAGGACCGACTGACTCTAAGCAAAGGATGAGAGAGGACGGCCAGTTTTTGAAAGAATAATTTATACTCTCTTGATTAAATCCAGTGGGATTATTGAATCATTTTCAACAGGCATAATTGCCAATATGAGGATTACAGAAATGGAAATAGCAGCTTCAGAATTGATGGATGTGGAAAGAGAGAATATAGACAAAGAAAACAATTTCCAAACAACTTTTAAACAAGGTGTCAGGATTACAAACTTTTTCACTTTTAAGCTTCAAAGGCTGCTCCATTATTACGGATTTGTAAACCTGTAAAATGATCCATTAAAAAATGCAGAGGTAGGTTTGTGAGTATAAATACGTGCAATTATTGGACAATTTATGTATACAAGGCTCTTAGGTCAGTTTTTTGTCCTTGTATGAGCTACATTTGGCAGAGAGGAGAACATTTCAGTTTTTTTTTTTTCAGAAAAGCCTGTGATATCCGTGTGGATTTGTCAAGCTTGGATCAATCCCACATAAACCTAAATGACCCCAGGCCTGCAGTGATTTATCACACTCTGCTGCCTAAACGATGTCCACAAGCCTTTAGACTCACTGGTGCAAGCGACTGTTACATAACTGAGAAGAATTAACCAGACACAGTCACGCCCTCTTGCTAAAACAATCTTTTCTCCTCTTTTCTTTATAGACTTTCTCAGAGAGAGATTTCCAGGTGAAGAAATGGTAATGCTCATATGAATCACTAACAGAGGCAGAAGAGACCAAGCCATGGAGAGCTGTTGAAATATACTGTATACACCTATACTTTATTCAAGCTCTTGAGGATGCTTTTCTGTCTGCCTGGTGTTTTCAGCAGCCGTGATGAATCAATCGCCCTGTCAGGCTGAGGTATCAAAGCTTACCACAAAACCCTGCTGCCTCAGACCCACTGAAATGTCTGGTTCCTGGCTCTCAGTGCCTGGTTGAGAGCTCCCTCTCCAAAGCACTCAGATGCGGGCTCAGACCCAAACGGGTGCCCTGAATTTAGCTCCCTCACCCTCTCTGCCAGGAACAACGGACAGCGAATGCTGGAAAGTTTTACCTCCTTAATGTTGACACTTCACTTTTTCTAATGGCTTTCCAGTCCAGAGGGGACAATGACAGCTTGTGTAGGGCAAACAGCACAAGCAATCCACATCAGAGAACAATGTGGGACAGCTTCGTAGGGCGGAGGATCTGTAGCCAAAAAATGTGATGACAAAGCTGCAAGGGTTGGGGAGACAGAGAAGACATTGAAGATCAGGGCTGTAGCCATGGAGTCAAAATTAAGGGGAACCCTGCCCATCATGATGTGTTCATTTCAACTGATTTAAACTGGATGCCACTGACCACTGTTGATTATACAAAAGTATGGTCAAGATTACCTATTGGAGTGTTTCGGTCATTGATCCATTACTTAGCCTTTTCACCACTTATCCAACATTTAAATCTAACTATAAAGCTTACTGCTATCTGTTTCATTTATCCATTATCCTACATTAAGCTAAGTGTTTCAGTGGTTTATACACTACTGTTAGCAATATTTTAATGATTTATCCACTATTTTTAGCTAACTATTTAAAATGATTATCCATCAGCTTACTTCTAGCCAACCATTTCAATAATGTACCTATTAGGCTACTTTTAGCTTTTGCACCATCTATCCATCCTTAGCTAACTATTTCAACTGTTTATCTACTACATTTAGCTATTTGAATCATTTATCCATTAACCTACTTTAAATTATATATCATGTAGAGTTACTACATCCATCCAACCATCTATAGGCCTACATCACATCTGTCAGTAATTCTACACAGTGTGTGTTCAAAAACACAATAACAAGCTAGAGATGAAGTACAGGAAATGGTAAAAAAGTCTGAATAAGTAATATTATTTTTAAGGTTTCTATGGTTTTCTCTTTCTCGACCACACAACATTCATCTTTAATATGCGGGACAACATTAAGAGTGTTATGCAAGAAATAAAAACCTTTGTGTGTGGTAATGCAGACCATAATTTGAATCAGTGAAGAATACGGTATGTGATGGGCACGCATTTCCTCCACTTACGCCCTAACAATGAAAATAAGGATGTGAAATAAAGCCACTTGTGAGTCTCATTGCATGCTTGTGTGCACACACTGAGAAACCGCACCAACAGCGGAGCTCGGACCCAAGTGTGTGAGTCTGTGTGTGTGTGTTTGAAGAAAACTAAACTATCTTCTTTGTTGCCAATAAAGGTTCTCTCCAACATTAATCAGCATGTGTTAAAACATCATTTAGATTGTCTGCACATGTCCCAGAGTTACTATTGGATGGGTATTCCTGCCTGATAAGCCACAAAGTTGAATGTGTGTACATTTCACATTCAGAGTTTTGCAGCAAAGAAAAAAGGTTTTCGTGGCAGTTTTTAGGAAAGGGCAGTGCAGAAGGAAATAGGGAGAGGGGAGAAAGAAGAAAGACAGATTTCAGAGGAGTTAAACTCAGTGACTGAGGCATTTCCCCAATATTTTCCTCTCTTCACTTCCAGAAGTTAAAGACACTCTATCCTGAGTGAATTCAATCTTTTTACAAGTTGTGGAAGAGGGAAATGATTTTTGGCACACCCAAACTTTTATGGAGCAAAAGTAGGCCACATTTAGACAAACCATCATCTTATAAATGGGGAGAGTTCTGTTTTTAAACACTGGCAATGTCTCCCAAATGAAACTACTCAACTTTGTGTGCTTGTATTTATGGTTCTGATAAATTGAAGCAGTTCTTTGTCGCTGATTCCAAAATCAGTCTGAAGTCAGTTGTCATTAGTTTGTCTGCTCCCACAGGCTTTCTGCTGCAGCTGGTTTCTGCCACATCAGTAGTATTCTGATATGTATAAGTCCCAAAAGGCCTGTAGGTCAGATTTAACAATCACAATCCATGTAACAATAGACTCAAGCTACGCCAAAATGTAATAATTCACTGATACATTTGCAAAGTGTTTAAACCAAGAGTTTAAATGACATGTTTTCATTTTTATTGATTCATTCAGTAACTTCAGGACCCAACCACAATGATACGTCTTTTAATACAACCAAAAGGGTGCTGATTTAAGTCACACGACTGGAGTCTGGTCACCATGTGCTTGAATTCACCATGTCCACTGAAAACCAGTTCACCTCTACATCATGACACACCTCCAGGAAAAGAGAGAGATCTCTGGAATGTGCTATTCCCACTGGCAAACTGGTCAACCCTAATCACTGACAGGAAGAGTGGAGCCACTTGGATGACAGGAGATTAACCAGCTGGAAGCCATTTGTACAGTTCAAGTAAACTTGTCCTTGATATTATTTTAAAGGCAACCTCCTCTCAAGTCAACAAACTCTGAAAAATGACAGAGTGTACTTCTAAAGCCATTTAAAATCTACTGTGTGTTGTATGGAGGAAGAGGTTTATTAACTGTAACTTTTAAAAAGTCTGTGAGCCAATAACATACATATATGACTCCCATACATTTAAATGCACTTGATGTTTGCAGTGTACCAAAGAGCATCTACAGCAGGAAACATTGGCAAACACTGCCCTCTTTTGGAAATACTGTGAATAGACAACTATACAAATCAACATGACTAATAACTGCAAAGTCTGATTTGTCATCTTATTTACTGTCAATGGTTTAGAAGGTTTAAGCCTTGTCTAAGTATTAGACAAATCAATGATTGAATCAATAAATAAATGTCTTAGACAGTATCTAACATCTTCCAAACACAAGGGTTTGCACCAGTTGTTAAACTAGACTATCTACCAAACTATGGTTTCTCAGAAAGCACTGTTTTTCCACAGATTTAAATCTTTTGATTGGACTTAAGCCAACTTGGCCGTGCTTTAGAAAAGAAAATCTTTAAGAAACAGTTGTTGATAGTTATCATATAGTGCCGTATGAGATAAAGGCTGACAATTACAGCCAGGGAGAGAGGTCTTTGAAGTCTACTGGTTCCTTCCATTCGAAATATCCTACATGCCTCACCAAATTTGGTTAAAAAAACAAAAACAAACTTACTTTACTTAACTTGAACATTCCTCCAAAAACTAAGAATCCCATGACCTGTGTTGAACACCTAATAACAGTGAGTTACTGTTCTCTGGTGAGACCGTAAAGATGTGAACTGAGCAGAAAAGCTTGACCTTTACACTCTGTGCTGGTCACCACTGTGACAACAATCACCATATTGTTATTTTCTCTGTCGCCCTTCTCTCACATAAATAACTCTATATAGCTATAGCATTAAAAGGCATCTTATAGGATATCCATTACAGCACACAAAAATAAAACAATGAAACACCAACCAACAAGCTTTTACAATTGAAATCCTATAATTTTATTATATTACATCAAAAACATGGGCTGCAATAATATTGTCATTGAGTTTCGCGTGAGTTATTCTGACAAAGAAAACGCTCACTTAATATACACTCTGGTTATTCGACACCTAGTTTAAATATACGACAGCCAAATTTGAGTGTGATTAACGAAAGCCAGCCTTAAAGTAAAAAGGAGGCCAATTTGTGCGCTTGAAAAGAGTCTGCAAGTTGGAAACAGACCTGAGATAAAAAGCACTTGCAAATCATTTTAAGTTTGCTTTAATCTGTGTGTACAGGGCGGTATGTCTGCCATAAAGACAATGTAATCTGCAACGATATAGACAGCACTTAAAAGTTACTACAGCTGATCATGTTAAAACTCCATGCAACTGAAAACTGAACATAATTTGCGACTACTTTTTGATCCAGGTCAGAGTGAATGGGGTATTTGAGGATTAGATTTTACTTTTTGGCAGTCTGGAGACGCTCGGTCACGTTCTCCCAGTTGATGACATTCCAGATAGCCTTAACATAGTCCGGCCGCACGTTTTTGTACTGAAGGTAGTAGGCATGCTCCCATACATCAATACCAAGGAGGGGGATGAGACCTGAGTGTCAGAGACAGGAAACAATTACCCTGATGGCTCTGTTTCAGGGAAATATATAAATGACAATCTAGAAACAAAGTCTTATCTTTACTTCAAAGCTGTGTTCAACTGACCTGTAGATCCCTGCAGGGGATCCTGGTTAGCACAAGCAGCGATACGAAGTCTTCCATTCTCCTTATCGTAGCCCAGCCAGCCCCAGCCCGAGCCCTGCACTGCCACTGTAGCAGCAGACATCTTCTCCTTCATCTTCTGGAAGGAGCCAAAGTCCCGCTTAATGGCCTCCATCAGCTCCCCTGCACCAAGGGACACAGACAGGTGCTATTTCAGGGCAATACTAGACATCAAAGCAAGAAACCAGATCTGAAAGCATTTACAGTAAACTTGATTTAACCATAATAGTTGTAAATTATGTGAAAGAAGGCATATTCTTTTGCAATAAATAATAAAACAAATGTCTTTTTTGGAAAGCCATATAATATTGTTTATGCCAAATGATGTCCCCTCTTCGACCATTAGGGGGCAGAATGATTAAAGACAACAACCTTGGTGTAACTATGCTGAGATACCAACAGCTTTTCAGGCACTGAATCCACAAACACTTGAGCCATGTTTCTGAAAACCTGCTGAATGGAAGCCATATTGACTCCCTTTCTAACTGGTTCGATATGCAAACTCTTCACAAGTCACTCATTTCCTTTCATCTCTGCAGTTTTGTGTTGGTAAAGTCAGCTTGTCTGAGTTTATTCACTGGGAACGGCTGGCTGGGCACCAATGTTTTATTTTGGTGGCTGGAGAGGGCGGTGAGAGTCCAAAATAAAGTCTTTGTGAGGGCCAATAATAACAGAAACAATAAGCTAAACGCTGCACAGAGCTGCACAGTTATCTGTTTGCTTAGTAGATCCAGCACGGCTAACTCCCGTTTCACATTACAGAGTAACAGAGATGTGTTGCTAAATGTTGCCGTTGGAAAAAGAAAGAACAGGGCGTTTAAAGTTAAGTTTTGGAGCCTCACCCTGTGGCTCGCCTCCACCATTTGGAGAGAGATTTGTCCAGAAGATGGTGTGGTTAATGTGGCCTCCTCCATTAAACTTAAGAGCAGGCTGGAGGGCAACCTGCGCGGTCACATCTCCTGCAATACAGGTCAAATACATACAGGTGAATCCAAAGACATCAGATCTGTGAGACATGAATACAGCTACAAGGACAGGTTAAGAACACAACTTGATGTAGTTCATTCTTTAATATTAATGAATCCATCCTAACATCATGTAGCTTTGTGTTTGTACCCTTTGCCAGCGCCTCCTTATACTTCTCCTCTGTGACGTTAAGGTTGTTGACATATGTGGCGTGGTGCTTGCTGTGGTGCAGCTGCATGATCTCTGCATTAATGTGGGGCTCCAGGGCGCCATAGTCGTAGGTCAGGTCAGGGAGCGTGTGCTTCTGCCTTGATGCGGCTACCTGGTTGATGGTTTGGCTCAGGCTGGCTGCAGACCTGAAGCAAAGCAGAGGGAGAAAAAAAAAAAAAAAAAACTTACCAACCACATGTCTGAGCATAAGCAGTTCACAGTTCATATGGGTTTCCAAATAAGTAACCTGTGTGATTAAATTGGACAATATTAGGCTAAGACAGCCTGGCATTGGTAGGTTTATTAGTTGAAACAGTATAAGCTTTACCAACTGGCTCGAAGTGACCTCAATTCTGGTGTTTACTGTGAGTCAGGTCAGTAGTTAGGTGGTTAACTAGATTAGCTGAATGAGCCTGTGGCACCGAGTTAGCTCGGTATGAGCAAGTATGTCTGAACATAAAAGCATCAGGTTAACAATTTACAAGTAAGCGTGTGTCATGAGTGTAGGACCAGGCGACCATTCAACACAATCCTTTATTCGGTGCGCCACAAGCTAACCTGGCTGAGCTGCTGAACTGAAGTTAGCATCCTGGCTAGCTGACTGTTAGCTCTGAATAAATGACTGTCAAGTTCATGAGCGCTCTCCGCTAGCAGGAGTCAGCTGTCCTAAGCCCTTGTGCACTTTGAACAGAGTACTGGCACTGAATTGGTAAGTCGATATTCTCAGTTTTACCTGCGCATTAGACCAACTCTGCAAAGCATGTTCATGATAGTGCCTCACAAGGTAGACGACACAGAGCAGACACGCTGGTGAAACTGCCCTTGAAATGTGCGATTTCAAGTTGACAGAGGGGGGACCGTACCATTATCGTCATGCGGGGGGGTGTTGACGGGAGTGTACAATAATTAGACATCCCTCAACTGCGGCGGTTAAAGCCACTTCTCCTTTCATGAATATTGATAGATATTATATAATGAAATGTGTGATAAAAACGTGATATTTTGATAAACTTAAACTTATTTGATTATATATTTTACTACTCCCTCTGCTATAATATTTTTCAACTCACCCTTCTTGTTGGTTTTCTGTGAACTTAATATGATAATAATACAGGAGCGTGAATTAAGTGTTATTGTATATTGTGTTATATAAATATTGTGTTTCATATATCATTACATTTTAATATATGTTGCATTTCGGTATTAACACACACTATGTTAAAGAAAATACATAAATAACACATAATGATATGCAATATAAACATAAAAACTGTAAATAATTTGTACAAGCAGGCTGCACAATTTAGCATAATTATCTAAAATAACAGCCAAGTACAGAATCACGTGAACTGTACCACATCAGAGGCAATGATCGTCTATATTGAGGCAAATGAATCACTAAGGCATAAAACCAGAGTCCTCATCTTTTGTGATAAAACACCAACAACCAATTTACAGCCTGCAATAGGTTTTATTCTTGATGGGTTCCCACAATAAATACTGAGTAACTAACCAAGCAAACTCATCTGGATCGTAGGCCTTAATATTATAGACAAGTAAGTAAATGTTATTGTTGGTCAGCCATTTTCTGTTGGTCTGTTTGAAGGAGAACAAACAAACACATTTTTCCAAAATAAATCAGGGTGCACAGATCTTTCTCACTTCTCATTCCAGAAATTTCACACACAAACCATCCGTCATCTTCCATCAAGCGCAAACCAGTGAACACCAGGGCGTAAGTCTCCACTCACAACTAATGATGCACCAGAAATCATGTATTGTGGCATTTAGTTATGGATAATGGGGGAAAAGCTCTGTTAGGGTCACAACACAGCACTACAACCACTGCCACTACACCAAGGCTGCAACTAATCATTATAATTATACATTAATCTACTTAGTGTAATCTTAATTAATTAGTAATTTGGTTTTTAAAATGACATTAAAAATAGTGAAAAAATATGACAAACTTTCACAGAGCCCAAAGTGATGTCTTCGTATAGCTTGTTTCATTCCAACAAAAGTCCAAATTTAAAATAATATTGAATTTATTAACAGAGGAGAGGAAATCAGCAAATATATAAGAGATGAGATAAGATGTTCTTTTATTGATCCCCCTGTGGGAGAAATTCAAGTTTGACACAGCAGCACAGGGGAAATGTAGTGCAAATAGTAGAGAAGATATAATAGAAAATATAAAAACTATAATGTAAATATATACACTATATGCAGTATGTAATAAAGAAATATAGTGTACATGTGCATTTATGACAAGGTAAGTTTGTGAACAAATACATTGAGAAGCTGTAACCAGCCAGTTTAAGGCAATGATCGATTAATAATTGAAACAAATTTGGATCAAATTATTGCTCAATTAATTAATTAATTTAACTTATTTCAGCTCTAAATATGTACAGTAAGAAACACAGTGGTTTATACGTACAATGAAAATCTTACTTTGCCCGACTCCCTTTACACAACACACAAATAGAATATAGAAGTTAAAGAATAAAAATTAAAATATACAAATTAAAATATATATTTTAATATTTTTGTATGACAATAAACCTCTTGAATCTTGAATCTCTAAACTACACCGCTTTGAATTATGCCCAAACATGAAGGCCACCAAGCTGTGTCTCGTATATACTGTGTACTGTATTCGTGAGCTTAACATATAGAATAAAATAGATAGAATAGCATATACTTTATTGTCCCCTAGGGGAAATTTGTCATGGACTCAAAGTGTGTAGTGCATAGTAGTAGCTGCCCTTACAGACAATAAACAAATACACATAAAATACATATAACAGCTAAGGACATACACAGGTAGGCTACATACACACTCATGACACATCCAATGAAAGATTAAAACAAATAAAAAAAACAAAACAAGCAGAACACCAAGTCATTGCACAGTTCCCAGGCCTCATCATACAAAAATTTTTTGATGGAGGTGGGTACGAAAGAGTATTTAAAACGGTTAAATTTGCATTTGGGGATTCTGTACCTTCTGCCAGAAAGCAAGAGTTCGTATTCCGTCCCAGGATGTGGGACGGGTCCAACAAT